TTTGCCGAGTTCATATGAGAATTTCGTTGATTCTTTTATTGCTGGTAAAGAAAGCGTGTCGTTGGAGGATGTCAGGTCTGCTCTTCATACGAGAGAGATCAGGCATAAGGCGTCTGGATCTGGTACAGGTGGTGAGGCATCGGGTTTGGCTGTTACAGGTGGAAAGGGAAAGAAGAAATCTGGTAAAGGGAATTCGAGCAAGAATTCCAAGGGTCCCGGTCCACAGCCAGGTGATGCTTGTCACAACTGTAAGGAAGTGGGGCATTGGAAGTACAACTGTCCCAAGAGAAGAGGGCAACAGAAGAAACAAGGTTCAGTTGCCGTGGCAGAAGTGGACAACAGTTCTGAAGACGATCTCGCCTTGGCTGTAGATGAGAAGGCACATCGTGGTGATGTGTGGTTTCTAGATACTGCAGCATCATACCATATGTCTCCGAACAGGGATTGCTTCAAAACCTACGAGCAGATAGATGGTGGTAACGTGGTCATGGCTAATGGAGCTGTCTGCAAGGTTGTTGGAATCGGGTCCATAAAGGTTCGGACACATGATGGTTCGTTCTATACCGTGAATGATGTCAGGCATGTTCCACGAATGACAAAGAACCTGATCTCCTTGAGTCTACTCGACAGCAAGGGGTTTCAGCTTCAAAGGAAAAGGTGGAGTTGTGTATGTCTACAAGGGTTCGAGGAAGGTACTGAAGGGCGTGAAGCGTGGGACCTTGTATGCATTACAAGGGTCTGTGTTGTCTGGTTCTGCTACAATTGCATCGTCTCAGGTTCATCAGGAAGATATGATCACTCTCTGGCACATGAGACTGGGGCATATGAGTGAACGAGGGATGCAAGTTCTGTCAAAGAGGGATCTTCTTTGCGGGCACAAGGTGCAGAATTTGGAATTCTGCGAGCATTGTGTGTTTGGGAAGCTACATCGCAGCAAGTTTCCCAAGAAGGGTATCCACCGGACGAAGGGGATACTGGATTACCTCCACTCCGACTGTTGGGGTCCTTCACGAGTTGAATCCATTGGAGGCAGCAGGTATTTTCTGTCTATTATTGATGATTATTCGAGATTTACTTGGATTTTCATGATGAAGCAGAAAAGTGAGGCTTTCACGAAGTTCAAGCAGTGGAAGACATTGGTGGAGAATCAGACCGATAAGAAGATCAAGAAGCTGCGAACGGACAATGGTCTGGAGTTCTGCAGTTCTGAGTTCAACGAATTCTGCAAGGATGAAGGGATTGCCCGTCATCGGACTGTTAGAGACACACCCCAGCAGAATGGCGTTGCAGAAAGGATGAACCAGACATTGTTGGAGAGAGCACGGTGCATGCTCTCTAATGCTGGACTAGAGAGAAGATTCTGGGCAGAAGCAGTAAACATGGCGTGCTTCCTGATCAACCGTGGACCTCACACAGGTATCGAGTGTAAGACTCCTTATGAGGTGTGGTATGGTAAGCCTGCTGATTACTCTTCACTGAAAGTGTTTGGGTGTCCTGTTTATTATCACGTGGATGAGGGTAAACTGAACCCAAGGGCAAAGAAGGGTGTATTTGTGGGTTACGGAGATGGAGTTAAGGGATTTCGAGTCTGGTCACCTTCTGAGCATCGAATTATACTTAGTAGAAATGTGATATTTGATGAGAAGTCTATGTTTAACCCCATGTTGAAGGTTACTGTTGCTGAAGGTAGCAGGAATGTTGATAAGCAGGTGGAGCTGCAAACTCTCAATGAGAGTGAGTTAGAGCACCAAGGTGGAGAAGATCAACATGATGAGGATGTCTCTGCAGAGCCAGAAAGTTCAGAGTCCAGTGCACGAGCTCAACAGTCTATGGCTTCCGGTAGACCGAAGAGAGTGACTGCAGGAGTACCTCCACAAAGGTATGGCTTCGAGGACATGGTGGCGTATTCATTTCAGGTTGCTGAGGAAGTGGATGCAGGAGAGCCACAGTCCTATAAAGAAACAGTTTCGGGAGGTGAAGCTTATCAGTGGCTTGCCGCAATGGGAGATGAGATGGAATCCCATGACAGGAATCATACTTGGGAGCTAGTCAAACGACCACAGGGAAGGAAGATTGTGACAAACAAGTGGATCTACAAGAAGAAGGAAGGAATCACTTCTAAAGAGGGCATGAAATTTAAAGCTCGGGTGGTTGCACGAGGCTTCTCGCAGAGGGAAGGAGTTGACTACAATGAGATTTTCTCACCATTGGTCAGACATACTTCGATCAGAGTACTACTAGCAATAGTGGCACATTATGACTTGGAGCTCGAGCAGCTAGACGTGAAGACAGCTTTCCTACATGGAGAGTTGGAAGAAGAAATTTACATGACTCAGCCAGAGGGATTCGAGGTTCCGGGAAAAGAAGACTATGTTTGTAAGCTGAAGAAGTCCTTGTATGGACTTAAGCAATCTCCGAGGCAGTGGTACAAGAGATTTGACAGTTACATGCTTGAGCTGGGCTACAACATAAGTCCATATGATTGTTGTGTATATCACAGCAAGGCAGAGGATGGTTCGATGATATATCTAGTTCTGTATGTGGATGATATGCTCATAGCTGCGAGGTCAAAGTCTGATATCCAGAAGTTAAAGGGGCTTCTCAGTGCTGAGTTTGAGATGAAGGATTTGGGAGCTGCTCAGAAGATCTTGGGTATGGAGATTTACAGGGACAGGTCGAAGAAGAAGCTTTTCTTGTCACAGAAGAGCTACATCCAGAAGATACTGTCGAGGTTTGGCATGTCTTCAGCAAAGCCCTTAAATACTCCTAGTGCTTCAAATGTTCATCTATCCTCAGCTTATGCACCGCAGTCAGAGGTTGAGAAGGAGTACATGTCGAGAGTCCCATATGCTAGTGCAGTAGGTAGCTTGATGTACGCTATGGTATGCACTAGACCTGATCTTGCACATGCTGTTAGTGTTGTCAGCAGGTTTATGATACAACCTGGGAAGGAGCATTGGCAGGCTGTGAAGAGGATCTTCCGGTACCTTAAGGGTACACCTGATGTGGGGATTAGCTACGGAAGTGATACAGAGTGCTTGGTGTCTGGGTATTCTGACTCGGACTATGCTGGAGATGTTGACACGAGGAGATCGATGACCGGTTATGTATTCACTCTTGGGAGTTCTGTAGTGAGCTGGAAGGCAACTTTGCAGTCGGCGGTGACATTGTCTACTACTGAGGCAGAGTATATGGCGTTGACAGAAGCGGCTAAGGAGGGAATATGGTTGAAGGGACTGGTTGGTGATCTAGGTCTACATCATGATCAGGCAGTGGTGTATTGCGACAGTTTGAGTGCAATATGCTTGGCCAAGGATCAAGTCCACCATGAGAGGACTAAGCACATCGATGTGAGGTATCATTTCTTGAGGACAGAGAAGAGGATTAAGGTGAAGAAGGTTGGCACCGCGGATAATCCTGCTGATATGTTCACGAAGCCGGTTCCACATGGCAAGTTCCAACACTGCTTGGACTTGCTGAATGTCTTGAGTGGGTGACTCCGCCCTACGGGGCATTGATGGCGAGAGAGAGAGAAGGAGCAGAGTACATCAGAGATTTCAGAGGAAGAGGATTCAAGTCAAGGTGGAGATTTGTTGATATGACTTGAATCGGACTATCAGCCGCTACGACGGTGTATGGGCTCAATGTTATTTGGGTTCGGGTTCTGGGCCTGGTCTGTAACCGTTTCCTTTGTCAGATTGGATTAGGTTTAGACCCACATGGAGAAGTACTATAAATACTTCTCATACTCCTATGTAATCTGTAATCTCCTCGATATAGTGAAACTGGCTCTCTCTCGCCCGTGGACTAGCTAACACACATCGTGTTAGTGAACCACGTAAATCGTGTGTATGTGTTTTTCGATTCTCGCTTTCGTATTCTTGCTTTGTCGATTCCGGCGATTTCCCGATCCGTAGCAGCGCGTTTATAACACCTTCCATCCCGGAGCTTAATCGCCAGGCAGATTGTCAAAATTTAGGGTCCCGAAGCTTAATCGCCACACTTCCCTAGTCGTCTTCCCAACCTCTGCCAGTCACACTTCCCTCATTGGATTCCCAACCTTTACTCCTCCCCCCTTTCATCTTTTCTTCTTCTCTTCCAATCCTCTGACAAAAAATTGCAGAACCAATTCCTTCCAACCCACACATCCTCCATCGGCCGGAATCCTTCCTTAACGCCCTCCAAAATGAAAGTCACGTGTTCTCGCTCATATTCCACGCTTTACAGCGCCTGCCGCAACGCAATCGAAAGGGTCGGGAGGACTACATCTGCTGGAACCCCACTCCGAGCCTTCCAGGTCGGTCGTTTCCTTTGCCCTCACCTTAGCGTCCCTAACGTACATCCTCATCGACGCGTTCACTACAGAAGTCGAGGACCTGTTGTCGGCGCCGGTGGCGTTCGCATCCGGCTATCTCCCCACGAATCGGAGATCCATTGCTTCTTTTGATTCTGCAGTTGCTACTAAGATTTGTTGCTTGGGTCTGATCTAGAATTCCTTGATTTTTAGAAATCGATAGACATGGAGAGTGGTTTATATAGGGATGAGAACAGAATGTTAGGGAAGTCTTTGGGAATTTGTCGATTGGAAGTTGAAAGGGCCCTTCTTGGAAAGCTTTTCAAACCTTCAAATAGAGGGAGTCCTATTGGAGTTGGGAGCATGAAGATGCTGGAATTGAGGGAGAAGCATAATGCAAGTGCGGAGGAGAAGGATGACAGAGGTGGAAGGGGATATGAGAATTTGGGAATTAGGGTTTTTTTCAATAGGAAGAAGATTATGGGTTAGTTGGGTTTGAGTATCTTATGTGGCGGGTTTAATGACGTGGCTGGTCGATTTTGAGTTTTTTTAATTTAGAATTGGGTGACCGGATATTTCTGTTAGCCACGTCAGCGAAAAACTGACACCGTTAAAGGAGACTAACGGAAGTTAACGGAGAGTGACCAAATTTGAACGGTTTAAGTAATCTCAATGATCACTAATGAAATTAAATATTTACAGTGACCAAAGTTGAACGTTTTAGAAATCTCAATGACGAATCATGCAATTTACCCATAAAAATAGGAAATGGAAATAGAATTCCATTTTCCATTTCTTCCTATCGTATCCAAACAGGCTGTTCGGACTCTTCTCGTCTGCTTTCTCCGGCAATGACTAGCGGCGGTCAGCAGTCGGCGCCACTGTACAAACCATACCGACTCCTCAAGACCCTGAGAGACCACGAACGCGCCGTGTCCTGCGTCAAATTCTCCAACGACGGCAATCTTCTCGCCTCCGCCTCCCTCGACAAAACCCTAATCCTCTGGTCCGCCTCCAACTTCTCCCTCCTAACGCGCCTCGTCGGCCACTCCGAGGGTGTCTCCGACATCGCCTGGTCCTCCGATTCCCACTACATCTGCTCCGCCTCCGACGATCGGACCATCCGCATCTGGGACGCGCGCGCTCCCTTCGACTGCCTGAAAATCCTCAGAGGGCACTCCGACTACGTCTTTTGCGTCAATTTCAATCCCCAGTCCAATCTCATCGTCTCCGGCTCCTTCGACGAGACCATTCGTATCTGGGAGGTGACGACTGGGAAATGCGCCCAAGTCATCAAAGCTCATACCCAGCCCGTCACTTCCGTTCACTTCAATCGTGATGGCTCCTTGATCGTTTCTGGGAGCCATGACGGGACTTGCAAGATTTGGGAGGCCGCCACTGGTACTTGCATAATGACGCTTTTCTCCGACCGAGCCGCCGTGTCTTTTGCCAAGTTCTCTCCCAATGGGAAGTTCATTTTGACTGCCACTCTTGACAGCACTCTCGTAAGTTCCACAATTTTAGCTTCTATACCCCTCTACTTGGTTTAGTTGCATTTGGGTGTTTCTTTGAGATGATTGTGATGCTACAGAACAAGCTAGTTTGCGGACCATCTGCTTTTTGGCTTCAGTAGCTTTGAAATTCTTGGTGGGTTGCGAAGCATGTGGATTCCATAACTGATAATGTGCCCATGGGTTGGCTAGCTAGATGAATTCAGGACTTCAATGGTTTCAAGTTTCAAACTTTCTGGTCCCGTGCCTTTAGTGGATTCCATAACTCATAATCTGCCCATGGATTGGCTAACTAGATGAAACAGGACTTCAGTGCTTTCAAGTTTGAAACTTTCTGGTACCATGATGATCAGGATTTTGAAAGGAAAGGCCCCTGACAAAGCAAACGCAAATGCGTACTTATCCATGATTTCTTCTAGGATCATATCGAGCATTTTTACATGACTGCTATAAAATATTTCTCATTTGTTTCAAATGGAACCATGTTTATCCCTCAGCTAGTGAAAATATGGGATTGAAATTTAGATAGTATGAGCATAAATAAAAAATACAAAATTCGATCGTGTTGGTTTGTTGTTTTTTGCAAGGCTAACTAAAAGGGGATCATTTATTTTGTATGTAAGCTTGTGAAGCTCAAAACTCCTGAAGCTTTGCAACTTTGGGTGATAGGCTGTGGTATTATTGTGTGGTGTATCTCTTGTGCTCATTGTTGACTACTTGAGTCCATTGGCTGGGGACGTGGAAGTCCTTAGTTAGGTGACAATGGCGTCAAGTAGAGTGGTGGAGGAAGATAATGATGAGTTAGGGCTATTTGACAGCCATGTAATCGATAACTGAGAAGGGGCACCATGGTCCTCCACCAATGCTTACTGTGTATGGTACTATAGGTTACCCACTTGTTTGATCCTAATCGACCTCATTGACATGGTCATATTGGGTGCTGTGGGTGCACATCTAAGTTGTAGCATGCTTCACAACCATGAGTTCTGTTACTTTCTTTTGGTTCCATGAAAGCTACCAAATGGCCTTACAACTCCAACGTGTTACTCTTTTCCGATTTCTCCACCTCATTAGTTCCATCGCCCGAGTCTAGCAATGGCTTAAAGTTGCAAAATGAGAAACCCATACCGAGTGAGAAGAATGAAATCCACATCTACTATACTCTAATTTGCTGATTTCTTCATATTGCAATTGTTACTTCATATTGAGTGTTATCTGGCTTCTTCAGCCGCTTGATGGTGGTTTTGGGGCGTTAGAGCTCGAGTGTGCGACTGATTTCTTCTTGTCTGACTTTGTGCGTGCAGAAGCTATGGAATTATAAATTGGGGAAGTTCTTGAAGATTTACACAGGTCACACGAACAAGGTTTATTGCGTTAGCTCCACATTTTCAGTAACAAATGGAAAGTATATTGTTAGCGGTTCAGAGGATAAGTGCGTATACTTGTGGGATCTCCAGCAGAAGACCATGATTCAGAAACTGGAAGGCCATTCTGACACGGTCATTTCTGTTAGCTGTCACCCCATTGCCAATAGAATAGCCTCCGCAGGCCTTGATGGAGATAGAAGCATAAAAATTTGGGTCCAGGACCCATAAAGAGCATCAATTTTTGGTTCGTGACCTATGAGAGACGGCGTTTTTTGCTGTGTATTTCGGATGGATGGCTGGAGCCTGTTAGGTTGCTGGAAAAAGGAAATTAACGGAGGAAGCATTGGGTAGCAAATTAGAAATAATTAGTGTATCTATTTCATGCTTCTTACGGATTAAGCATTGTGATAGCGATGTTTCTGATGAAAACAAAAGCCGAAAAGAATGTGATATAGATGTTTCTGATTGATTTAAACCACAGCAAAAAATGGAAAGCTCAGCTGCGGCCATTCTCAACTGTCAGATGATGATTGCGATGGACTGTGAAAAAGGCGTTGTTTACCTCACAGCTATACAAATGCACCAGCCGGGAATCGAACCCGGGTCTGTACCGTGGCAGGGTACTATTCTACCATTAGACCACTGGTGCTAGTTGCATTAGATTTTGAAGCGAACCTATATCATTTTGAAAATAGTTAATAGTTGCATATATAAATATAGTAAAAAGCAAGAGGGATTGAAGGATAATAGTCAAATATCAAGAGATGCCCAAAATAATGAAATGTGAGTTGAGATAAAGGATTTTTATATAGAAACGTACCATATATTTAAGATTACTGAACTTTCCAATTCAAGTGTTAGTTATTGGATTTTTTTTTATTTTTTATGTTTGCCCGCTCATGTTACTAAGAAATAAATAGATTCACCAAGTCCAGTTCAAAGAATCGATTACAACCTAAAAATAAAATCAACCTCACTAAACAAACAAGACTTAATAAAACGATATTTTGTGTCACTAGTCAAACAACCCTACTATACACAAGATCATCTTGTGAAGCACAATATAGATCTTTGGCCATGTTGTCCCGTGAAATGGTGTGGCCAAAGCAATTACTGCTTAAAAATGATAATAAATCATACCGAGTCATCAACCTTATATTGTGACAATCAGTCAATAATCCACATTACATAAAATTTAGTTTTTCACAAGAGGACTAAGCATATTGAAGTGGATTACCATTTCATTCAACAACACAATATTGATCAAAGCGTACTGTGACTCATATCATATCAGAAGTTCAACCTGTAGAAGCCTTGAAGTAGGGTACGAGTCGCCATAAATTGTGATTTCTTCTCTTCAAGTTAGGCGTTATACTCCTCAACTTGGGGGGCGACACCTAGTCTTGTCCAATTTTCTAGACTGCTGGTCGAAGAAGTGTGACACGACATCGTTCAACTGACAGATAGAAGACACACCTTTGTGTATTTGACACTTGTATAGTTGTGATTAGTAGTGTTGATTGTTAGTTGTAGGGATGACAATGGGTCGGGTTGGGTCGGGTTTTGCTAAACCCACACCCAAACCCATGGGTTTATCTTTGAAAAAAACCCGGGGTAAAACCCACTAGCTTTGAAAAACTCAAACCCAACCCAACCCGTTGGGTATCCGCGGGTTCATGGGTACCCACGGGTTTTGTCGTAAAAAATTTACAATTACAAGTTCTTATCAAAATTAAAGTCAAATATCAATCTCTCAATACAAATTATCCATATATAAAACACCATTCTAGAAAATTCAAGCAAATCACAAATTAACTATACAAATTGTTCAACACCAATCTAGAAAACTCAAGAAAATTGAAGCAAATCACAAATTATCCATAAATAATATGTTTAATTGAAAGCTTCTTTCAATTAAGCTTCTTTACTCTCCACTCCATATCATCAACTTCATTCTACCCAATTAAAAAGAAAAAATTAGACATGTCTCCACAAACATAAATAAGATTAGTTGTTTAGAATATTAAATACCGAAAAAATTAATTATATGGGTGGGCGGGTACCCACGGGCCGGGTTTACCTAAACCCAAACCCAACCCAACCTGATGAATAGTGAACAGGTTTATACCCAAACCCGGCCCAAAACCCGTCAACACGGATTTTACCCGCGTTGACCGGGTTGGGTCGGGTGGGTACCCGTGGGTTCGGGTTTTGTTGTCATCCCTAGTTAGTTGTGACTTGTGAGTTTAATCACTCGTTTCTAAAACATACATGTAATTGAATTGTATTAATATTAAAAGCATTATTAATTTCAGGGTTAATTGCAAAATTGGTAGTATCGTTCATGTTTAGTCACTACAAATATTTAATTCCATTCGTAGTCACTAAAATTAATTAAACACTTCAAGTTTGGTCACTCTCCGTCCAATTCCATTAACTTTGTCTGATGTGACAGTCAACTTTCATAGTTGACCGTTAAATGTACTATGTATGTTCTTATTATCCCCTAAACACCAAACCCTAGCCCCTTAATCCCTCTCCAAACTTCCCTCCTTCCTCTGCCAGGCCATGAGATTATCCCATCCATAGTGGCCGCTGCATCATCAATTCCACCACCAGCAATTGAATTACCAACATCAACAGTCTTAGTACTACTTGCGCCCGCCAGGGGCGACAATGCAATTCCAATTGCTTCTTCGTCCGCCACGGGAGCTCGAAGCATGCGTCGCAAACTTGGCTGCGTTTGGAACAGTGACTTGCTGAGCCCGATTGTGGTCATCCCGTACCCAGCCCGGACCAGGTCGCCGATTTGATGTCCCACGGGTCCGATGCTGCTACTTGTTAATCGATGGCATTGAATCGATGACCAAGGGTCGGATTTGCGCGATCGATCAATTGTGGGGGATTGAATGTTGTTTTCTTTTACAGATCAATTGTGAGGAGATATGATTGCTTATTTCTTTTTGATTTTGGGGGCTCGTTTGCTTTCTGATCCTACTACCAACTGTGTTTAGGGATTGTAAAAAATTTAGTTTTATTTTTATTTCTTAATAGCTCTAAAAGTTGAGGCGGAAAATGTATTTTTTAATTGTCACATCACAGATTTAACGGTCAACTATGAAAGTTGACTGTCATATCAGACAAAGTTAACAGAGTTGGACAGAGAGTGACCAATCTTGAAGTATTTAATTAATCTTAGTGACTACGAATGAAATTAAATATTTGCAGTGATCAACCGTGAACGTTTTTAGTAATCTCAGTGACCAATCTTGCAATTAGCCCATTAATTTCATATAGAGAACATTATATCCAAATACAAAAAAAAAATCCGAATTCTAGAAATAAAAATGGGACTGATTTCTCAAGGTTCTGATAAAAAATTGGGGTAAATGCCATTGGTCATTGGGTTTACTAATATGTGTCATGTTTAGTTACTAAAAAAATTAATATCAATAATGGTCACTAAGTTTAGTAAGACATGTCATGTTTGGTCACTCTCCGTCCAACTCCGTTAATGAAGTTCGTTAACGGCCGACGTGGCAAACGAAATTACATAGTCAGTCGGATTTAACCCAATAAAAATACAACCCGACATGCCACATAATTTAAAATTACCACATCATTAAAACCAACCCAACCCATGACCCAACCATTTATCTTCTTCTCTATTTGATCCGACCCGAACCTTCTCTCCATCCTCCCACCTCCTGCTTTCCCCAAATCCACCACTAGGGGTGTACATGGGTCGGGTGGTTCGGGTTTAACCATTTTAATCACCCGACCCATGCACTACAGTTTGAGAAATATTAAACCCAAACCCACCCATTTAAACCCTACGGTTTGTTTCTAATTGGGTTGGGTCGGGTTGACTATATTTTTAAGTAAAAACCCAACCCAACACAAAATATATAATTATTCTACACCATAAAAATATTTTATTAATAACTAAATTTCAAACGAATAAACCGAGGTGAAATGTATCAAATTTCACAAATGTTGTTTCAGTTTTAATAAAATGTGATTTACTTCAACATATGTCTAGTTTTTTTCACGATATTTGTTAAAATAGGCTAAAAAGGTTATAAACGAATGCACCAGTAATATATTATTCTATTAAAATTGTACACAAGAAAAAGGATTATGTGAATCATAGCTATATTAAATTTATGTCTAAACTTTAATTTGAAGAATGCATTAGATTAGGGAGACCATAAGCGAAAAACATAGCGAAATATCTTAATTTTCGCTTAAGTATGGCTATATATGACATAAATATTTTTGGATACGAACTCCTACCAATAGTTGGAACACGGGTTGGGTCGGGTTCTACTGGTTGTGTAATCCAAAATCCAAACCCAACTCAATAGAAGCGGGTTATACAAAAGAAAACCTTCACCCAACCCAAAACCTTCGTTTTAGCGATAAATACGGCCATACGGGTGGGTTGGGTAGGGTTGGACGATGGATTGGTTTACGAATGTGTTTGTTCACCCCTACCCACCACTACTACTTCCTCCTCCTTTTTCCCGTAAACCTCCCCCAACTCCATCGCCAAAACCCTCTCATCTATATATTGGTGGCCGGTGTGGAGAGTTGCCCAATAAAGACCATGATCGAGAATCTGATAGAAATGAAGGATGGGAAACCCAGAACACCCAATCAATTTCTCCGCTTGAAGTTCAATAATTCGAGCCAATCTGACGACCAATATTCATTTACCATTGCCAATTCGCTCAACGAAGGTCGATGTTAGTGAATTCGACGGAACCCCGCAAGATAAACAGATAATTGGGATTTCATAGTTCGTAACAAAAGAGTACATAGTCAGCAGGCGAGAACGGAAAACAATGGCTTACCTGTGGGTTAGGAACAGAGGAAAAGCTTACGAAATTGAGATTTCATATTTCCCCAAATTAAAAGTCCATTCACTTCCAATTAGAGGTGGCAAATGGATTGATCCATGGATTGGTGGATTGGATTGGTGGATCCATAGATCAAATGAATTGGATCCAATGAATTGGTGGATTCATGGATTGGATCAAGTGGATTGATGGATTATCCATGAATCCAAATGACATCCTCAACCAAAATATGTAAAATGTGAAAATTTAGGTACTAAAATGTCATAATGAAAATTTTTAGTTACCAAAACATAATTTTCTAATGATATTTTTCGTTTAAAAAATTAAATTTTGGGTACCAAAATGTAAAATATAAAAGTATATGTACCAAACCGTGATTTGTCATTTGGATCCATGGATCAATCCATGAATCCACCAATCCAATTGGATTTGGATCAAATGGATTGGATTTAAATGGATTAGATTAGGTGGATATTTTTAATGGGTTGGTGGATTGGATTGAGAATTGCCACCTCTACTTCCAATTCCCAATTTCAATTTCAATTCGAGATTGTTGTAACCTAAACTCGACTCTTCAGATTCCACATGTTGAGCCCATGCCCCACAAACGTAACCTTCTTCGAAGTCGAAATCAACTTCCCTGCCAGAGAACTCTTCGCTCTCTCAAAATCATACGCGCCGTTAGTAACCGAAGGGGCGTCGTCCCTCCGCGGTTTCTCTGCGCGCAGAGAACACGCAAATCTCTTAGCTCAATCAATGACAACAGTGGCTGAAGGAAATAAAACTGAAATCCTGGAAAGACTTATCGATGACAAGAGGAACACTCTCCGGAGTGGAGCTCGAGCAGGTAACCTGAACCCTAACGAAAGAGCGGTCACGAGTAGCTTCTCTTGGTTTGGATATGGAGGCAAAGCTCGAAGAAAGAGGGGATTTCAAACCCTGGACGGCGGAAACCATCTTTGATCGCTATTGCTGCTCTGAAATCGGATGAGATTTCATCGAAATACGCCAATTCATCACCGGGCTCGAATTTGTCTATGTTGAATTGGCCGGCGCGAGTTGCTCTTAGGGTTCGTGTTCTCCGAGGAGGACAGAGACTCCAGCTTGGCGTCGGTTCTCCCCGGGCTGCAGAGACAGGGGTTTTAGCGATGGAGTTGGGGGAGGTTTGGAGGAGAAAGGAGGAAGGGGCGGTGGTGAATTTGGGGAAAGAAGGAGGAGGAAGGCTGAAAGGGAGAAGATTTGGGTAAGGTTTTAATGACGTGGCGTGTTCGAATTTTTATTTTTATTGGGTTAAATTTGGCTTAATTGGTGATTCCGTTTGCCACGTCAGCAGTTAACGAACTTTATTAATGAAGTTGGACGTAGACCAATAGAGAGGGGAGCAGATCAGGTGAGTAACTTTGTGGTGAGTAACCATGAGTAACCCGTCCACATCAGCATGACATCAACATCCTCTCTCTCCTGGAAAGCCTTTAATTTCCCCCTCTTTAATCTTTAACGAACGATTTCTCACTCATTTTAAGTCGAAATTTAATTTTTTTTGCACAGTTAGATCAGATTAATTGTGCTCTTCAAAATGATATCCACTTTAATATATTTTTCGAACAAAAAAAATTGAGCCATTTTTTACCAGTCTATACCATATGGTATTGACTGGTATTGAAATAAAAGCATACATATGGTTTGAAAAGAGTACCATGGTGGTATGAACAAACCAAGACTGTAGGATGGTTGAATACATGATAGTAGAAATATATTAATTGTCATTTACGACTTTTAACATTGTATACCACAAGATACCACCCCGTACCAGGGTGGTATTGTATGGTATTGTGTGGTATTTTTTGGTCCTATAATTTGTTCACCCATAAATTTTTAGATCCAATAGATCATGATGAACTCGTCCCTTCTGTGCAAACGTTTTAAAAAACGAATTAAAAACGAAGAAGATACCATACAATACCACCCCGTACCAGGGTGGTATTGTATGGTATTGTGTGGTATTTTTTGGTCTTGTAATTTGTTCACCCAGAAATTTGTAGATCTAATAGATCATGATGAACTCATCCCTTCTGTGCAAACGTTTTCAAAAACGAATTAAAAATGAAGAAAATACCATATGGTATGCAGTTGGTACCGAGAGGCCATAATTTTTTGTTCTAAAAAAATATTTAAAATTGATCTCATTTTGTAGAGCACGATGAACTCGTTCCACCTGTGCAAAAAAAATTAAAATCCGAGTTAAAACGAAAAAGATATGAGCCGATTAAGAAAGCTAGAAAAAATAAAAATGATATTTAATTCTCCATCCTTAGATCTGGATTTTCTAAATGAAGGGTTCAGATTTGGTTATTGATAGATGCATAACCCATGGTTATGCACCCTATCTTGAGCCAATAGAGAGTGACTAAACATGTCATGTTTTACTAAACTTAGTGACCATTATGGATATTAATTTTTTCTAGTGACTAAACATGACATATTTTAGTAAACTCATTAATCAATCAAACTTGGCATTATACTAAAAAATGGAATTGATTTTTTAGTTTTACGGCACCAAAAGAGAAAAAATGCAATTACCGAAAGAAAGGAAAAATTGTGCATGTAATCCGCGGTTCAACTTGAAAGTAAAAACCGGGACAGAAGTGAATATCAAACAGAAGTACAGAACAGAACCCTGTTTGGAACTCAGAACTCGGAGATAGAACCCAACACGCCAAGGAGAGAGAGATGACGACGATACGGCGGTTCTGTTGCAACGACCTTCTCCGCTTCGCTTCCGTCAACCTCGACCATCTCACTGAAACTGTAAGATCTCTCCCCCTCTCCCCCTCTGCCCAATCCCTGCTTTCCTTCTTCCAACTCCATTCTACCAATTGATTTCCTCACAGCAATGGCGTTCGGCTTTCGTAGTTTAACATGTCATTTTACATGACCTACTTGGCGAGATGGCCCGATTATTTTCACGTCGCCGAAGCCCCCGGAAACAAAGTCATGGGATACAGTGAGTCGCTTTTACACCCCTTTCAATTCTCACCCTCAAAACGCTGCTGCAATTCAACTGAGTTCGTTTGGTTCTTTCTACCTGCAGTTATGGGGAAAGTGGAAGGACAAGGCGAGTCCTGGCACGGCCATGTGACTGCGGTTACGGTGGCCACGGAATTCCGCCGGCAGCAATTGGCCAAGAAGCTTATGAACCTGCTGGAAGATATCAGCGACAAGATGTAAGGATTTCCTTTTCCCCCCACCCTTGTTTTATTCCCAATTTTTATTTTGGCAGCCCAATTGATAGATTACTCGTTCTGATGCAAGATTCTGTTACCAAGGAGCTGCTATCAAGTAGTGTCAAGTGTTAGTTAAGAAGAATTTGCCTTGTGGATGAATTCGTTTTGCACGATATGGACCGGTGACATTATTATATCGATCGTGCCTGGGATTGTTGTCTACAACTTCTGTTTGAATTGTTGTTCTTTATGTGGTGGCATTGAATGATGTGATATATGATGATTGTGTGCAATTTCAACCTCGATGTCAATAACGTGATATGAAGTTTGTTCAATGACTAATTGATTGTTCCAGAACTCATGTTGTCTCGAGATGTTTCCTCCATCCTTGCTATTTTTTTTCCCCATTAGTAGTGCAGCTCTGCCTATTGATGAAAAGGCTCTTTGAAAGTTTATTTGTTCTATACTTTTGCTTCTTTTTGGAGTATTTGCGTTATTCGTGATTTTAACAAGAGATTTACTTCAGTGATAAGGGGTACTTCGTGGATCTTTTTGTGAGAGCATCAAATACGCCTGCGATAAAGATGTACGAGAAGGTAATAGTTTCGTCACTTCTGATGATATTTATGAAGTGTCATGCACTAAGTTTGTTAACAAGCCTTCTCATTCAATTTTAGATAGACACAGCATTCATCCAAGTTCAGCAGAATCAAGTAGTAACTTTCACAGCTCTGTTGGGTTACTTATTTAAATCCAAACTATAGTCAATCAGTTGCTAGGAATTCAGTTCAGCTCTGATGATGATAACTACCACATATCAAACTTCTTCTGATATGTAATGTTAGCTCCTTGAAGTCCTCTTGCAATTGTGTTTCTCCACTATTCTCTAGTATAATCTTCTCATTAGGCGACGACGAATTTTCCTGTGGCAAGAAGGTGTCATTGTGTCTGGATTAGTGAGTTTGACTGGAAAATAACAGCAGGTTGTTTTCAGTAGATTTCTACAGGAACTAGGTCCCCGGTTCTATTTCATTGTCTAATAGAGGATATGAGACTGTTATTATCCTCTCACTTTCTGAGTAATACTCTCTGGCTAACATTCACGTAAGAGAATACCGGGAACAACGAAGTAATTTGGACCAGTTAAGACAACTAACCTGATGCTAACTCAATGCATGTGTTTATGTTGCAGCTTGGATATATAATCTACAGACGGGTGCTTCGCTACTACTCTGGGGAGGAAGATGGCTTAGGTAAGCATTTTTGAGATCATGCTGAAGTATCTCACCAAGTTCCTTGTTATTTTCCCCGGATTATGTCTCAACGTGTAATTCTATCTTTTTGTGGTAATTTTCAGATATGAGGAAAGCGTTATCTCGTGATGTGGACAGGAAATCAGTCATCCCTCTCAAACGACCTATTACTCCCGACGAACTGGAGTACGATTAAGTATCAAAGTGCTGATGCAGTAGCTTAATCTGTTGAGCTTGACAGCAGTGGAAGAAGCTACTCTGTGATATATAGATTGATTCTGGTAACTTATTTGGTTTGATGCTTGGTGAAATCCTATTTCAGATATTCCTGAGGCCGTCGTCTGGCTAGAAAGTGGTGGGACTTGAGACAGTTGTTGTGTAGAAGTGTTAGAAACCGGCGGGTTGGGCCGGTCGGGTGAGGGGAGTGGCAGTTTTGTTATTTTCATTATTTCTGTTTTGTATTTAAGAGGAGAGAACACTATTCTGCAGATTAGTGAATAATCAATATTACAATCAAAATCCCTAAATTCCCAATTCTCTCTATCTCTTGTTCTTCCTCAATTCTTCTCAAATCCCTAATTTCTTCTCTTCTCAATCCCTAATTCCCTTGTGGAACTTCTTTGTTTCTAACATTTGGTATCAGAGCCCCGTTCCGATCTGTGAGTTCTTCCCAACTCCATCAGGGACAGCTTAGAAACCAGAGAATCAGCGATGGAAAAATCAAAACTGTCATGGGCTCAGAAGCAAGAGAGGCTGTGGCAAATTGCGAGCTATTGGAAGGAGGAGGCAAGGGCGGGGGCGTTCGGGCAGGCCGGCCGAGGCGAGGAGGGCGCCGCGCGGCAGGAGGCGGCGCGGGGCAGAGCCCGATCGTCGGGGCTGGCGGGGAAGCGCGCGACTTGCGGAGGAGAGCGAGGCCGAGGGCGGCAGCGCCGGAGGTGGCTGGGTCGCGGGCGAGGAAGGAGGGGAGTCGGCGGCGATTTCCCTACACTCTGTAGCTGGGATTTCGTCGCCCGGAACCCTGAGGTTTCGAGCAAAGGTGGCTGGGCAGCAGGGTCTCGTCCTCGTTGACAGTGGGGCATCGTTGAATTTTATCGGGGAGGACTTTGCTAAGACCTTACAGGTGGCAGCGAGTCCGACGAAACCGGTGGTGGTAAGAGTGGCTAATGGCGCGCCGATGCGGTGCGTCGAGGTGTACAGGGAGATGACTATGGAGATCCAAGGCCTCGAGATCACCACCGACTTGTATGTATTGCCTTTGCGAGGGTTCGATATCATTCTTGGTATACCCTGGCTGCAGAGCTTGGGATCGATCACCAGTGATTGGAGGAGTCTGACGATGTGCTTCAAGTGGAGGGACAAGGAATGGAGGTTGAGAGGCCTGACCACAACCATTGGGCCGGTGGAGATGGAGGAGTGCGCGAAGGGGGAGGACACCGAGCTCGCTGTCCTATGCTGGCCTCTCTCCGCAGCAGGGAAGACGGAGATTGATGGGGAGATACAGGAGCTGTTGGATCGGTATCCCGAGCTATTCCGGGCGCCAACCACGCTCCCGCCCCATCGTCAGGTCGATCATCAGATTTGTTTGAAGGAAGGTGTGGAAGCAGTGAATGTGAGGCCATACCGTTATGGGCACTCACAGAAGGGGGAGATCGAGAAGCAGGTGGAGGAGATGCTCGCTACCGGGCTGATTCGGCCTAGTACCAGTCCTTTTTCTTCGCCGGTACTGCTGGTTAAGAAGAAGGATGGGACGTGGAGATTCTGCACAGACTACCGGGCTCTCAACAAGGCGACCGTGAAGGATCGGTTTCCGATCCCGACAGTGGATGACATGCTAGATGAACTACATGGGTCGAGCTATTTCACTAAGCTCGACTTGAGAGCCGGTTACCACCAGATCAGGATGCAGGAGGAGGATGTGCCCAAGACAGCATTTCGCACCCATAATGGCCATTATGAGTATTTGGTCATGCCATTCGGGCTGTGCAATGCTCCTTCGACATTCCAGGCTGCCATGAACGACATTTTTCGGCCTCTCCTGAGACGGTATGTCTTGGTATTTTTTGATGATATACTGGTATATAGTCCTACTTGGGAGGACAAATTGAGACATTTGCAGGAGGTGTTTGAGATTCTTCGGAGGCATCAGTATTATGTCAAGGCCTCCAAGTGTGCGTTTGGGGTGCAGAAGGTGGATTATCTGGGTCATGTGGTGACGCCTCAGGGAGTACAGGTGGACCAGACCAAGATCCAAGCCATGGTGGACTGGCCTGTGCCCACCAATGTGACCGAGTTGCGTGGCTTCCTGGGATTGACAGGGTATTACCGGAAGTTTGTGCAGGGTTACAATATGATCGCGAGGCTTCTGACGGACCTGCTGAAGAAAGGGGGTTTCGGGTGGTCACCGCAGGCAGAGGAGGCATTCCAGAAGCTGAAGGAGGCAATGTCCACGACCCCCACCCTGGCCATGCCGGATTTCTCGAAGACGTTCGTGATTGAGGCCGACGCCTCTGGTCGCGGTATCGGGGCAGTGTTGTCTCAGGATCGACATCCCATTGCCTTCATGAGCAAGACTCTACCACCCTCGAAAGAGGCCTGGTCGACATATCAGAAGGAGATGCAGGCTATCATAACAACAGTACAGACTTGGAGACCGTATTTGTTGGGCCAGAAGTTTCACATCTATACAGATCATCAGAGTTTGAAGCATCTCCTGGAGCAGAGGGTGTCGACACCAGACCAACACAAGTGGATTTCGAAGTTGCTGGGGTACGACTACGAGATTCACTACAGATCGGGACCCACCAATGTGGTGGCGGACGGCCTATCCAGGAGGCCGGGAGGAGAGGTTCTCACGGCGGTGACCGGGCCCGTGCCGGAGTTCTGGGATGAGCTCCGTACCTCTTTGGAGACCAGTCCGTATCTGCAGAGCTGCCGGGACATTGCTGTGAGTGACGAGCCGGGTCGCTACCAGTTCAGACAGGGGCTAGTACTTTTCAAGGGCCGGGTGGTCCTTCCGCCGGGGTCAAACCTGGTCACTACAGTGCTGATGGAGTTTCATGACTCGCCGCTGGGGGGTCATTCGGGCGTGGAGCGGACTCTACGACGGATTCGGGCTCATTTCTACTGGCCCCGCATGGCGGATGACGTGAAGAGCTACGTGGCATCCTGTGACACCTGTCAGAGGGTAAAGCTATCCCATCTGAGACCTGCAGGGTTGTTGCAGCCGCTACCGGTACCGGAGCGGGTTTGGGAGGACATCAACATGGATTTTATAGTGGGACTCCCTCCCTCAGGCGGCAAGACTGTGTTGTTCGTGGTGGTGGACCGTCTGACGAAGTATGCTCACTTCATGCCCTTGGCTCATCCGTACACGACAAGGGCAGTGGCTGAGCAGTTTGTATCAGGAGTGGTGCGGCATCACGGGTTCCCTCGCTCTATTGTGAGTGATCGGGATTCAGTCTTCTTGAGTCGGTTCTGGTAGGAGGTCTTTGCTATGGCCAAGACGGCATTGAAGATGAGCTCGGCCTATCACCCGCAGACGGATGGCCAGACGGAGATCGTGAATAAACATCTGGAGCAGTATCTCAGGTGCTTTGCCCACCAGCAACCCAAGAGCTGGTTGGCCATGATCCCATGGGCTGAGTTATGGTATAACACCACATACCACAGGGCTATTCGGATGTCACTCTTTGAGGCTCTGTACGGGCGAGCCCCGCCGTCTCTAGTACGGTACAGGCTGGGTGATAGTTCGGTGGATGCGGTGGACAGGTGGTTGGGAGCGAGGGATGAGGCGCTAGAGCAGCTGCGTAGCACGTTGGCGGCGGCCAATAACAGGATGAAGCAGTTGGAGGATGCGGGTCGGCGGGAGGAAGAGTTCGAGGTGGGTGATTGGGTGTTACTGCGACTGCATCCCTATCGACATGCCTCAGTCTTCCGGCGCGCCTATCAGAAGCTGGCTGCTCGCTATTTCGGGCCCTACGAGATTCTGCAGAAGGTCAACCCAGTGGCATATCGTCTGCAGCTGCCGGCAGAGTCTCGCATTCATCCCACCTTCCATGTTTCATTGTTGAAACGCTACAGGGGAGCAGCAGACAGAGTCGAGACGACTGCCCCGCCGGTCGGTGCGGATGGTGACCTTGAGCTGGAGCCGCTGAAGGTGCTCGAGACTAGGTGGGTGAAGAAGAAGGGACGGCTGGTGGAGGAAAGCTTGGTGCTTTGGAAGCATTTGGAGCCGGAGGACGCGACTTGGGAGGAGACCGGAGACTTGCAGCAGAAGTTTCCGAACTTTGACCTTGAGGACAAGGTCAGGCTTGAAGAGGGGGAGGATGTTAGAAACCGGCGGGTTGGGCCGGTCGGGTGAGGGGAGTGGCAGTTTCGTTATTTTCATTATTTCTGTTTTGTATTTAAGAGGAGAGAACACTATTTTGCAGATTAGTGAATAATCAATATTACAATCAAAATCCCTAAATTCCCAATTCTCTCTATCTCTTGTTCTTCCCCAATTCTTCTCAAATCCCTAATTTCTTCTCTTCTCAATCTCTAATTCCCTTGTGGAACTTCTTTGTTTCTAACAAGAAGCTTACAAAGCAGTCCCCTATTGTTGCTCCTCTCTTTAGCCATAGTAATGCCTCGTACGAGTGCTTAACAAGGGAAAATCATAAATGGTAGCAACTCAATGTCTGTGCTTTATTCATTATTCGGAGAATATCAAACCCTGTAAACTTGTTATCCACAACGGCTGGTGGCCTCATCTTTAAGCTATGAGTTAATACTGGTTGTACTTGTATTTTCTTTGGCAGAACTAATTCTACCTGTTTAAGTAATTCTACCTGCTTAAGTTTGTGGTTTTGATCCTCGGGTATATCATAAGAGGGTAACGAATAACGAGTGATTTTTTGTGTATATACAAGGTTTAGAAAGTATAGTTATACATGTTGGAAATGTGTATGAATAGCTTTGAAAGCTATAGAGTCTCAAGTGGAAAAACTACCACATTGGTAGTTTTACTTGGTGAAATGAGTATAAAGATAGGAGCCTCTCTCCTAAAGGCATGCCCCTTGGGGTGACCCACTTTTGTGGGAGAGGGAGGACCTAACGGACCACCACACACGCGCCGTCCGTCCGTCCGTCCGACCGGACGGTCGGTTGGATGGATGGATGGATGGATGGATCACTTGAGACTATATATACATATTTTTTGGAGAAATTCCGAACGAAATTAATTATTATATAATTAATTATTAATCAGTTATTCTGAGGAATATTCTAAGGGATAATCGATTGAAAAGGAATATTCCTAGGGGTTCGGCTCCTATAAATAGCCGCCTCCTCAGCCCATCTAAACATACCAGAACGAGCATAAACACAATAGAGAGAGTGTTCAGAGAGCTCCGGTTTTCGCACAAAACCGCGAGTACACAGAGGAGCTGTTTTATCCTGGAGACGACCGGTTGATAGTCTGCCGTGCGCATCGAGGGCAGTGCCGCGAACGTCTTAAAGAGAGCGACCTAGTCCGCGACACAGCTCCAGATTCGGTATCCTCGGTCTTCTTGTTGTTCCGT